GAAGGAAAGAAGAGAAAGAAGGAAAGAAAGAAAGAAGGAAAGAAGGAAAGAAGGAAAGAAAGAAGGAAAGAAGGAAAGAAGGAAAGAAGGAAAGAAAGAAAGAAAGAAAGAAAGAAAGAAAGAAAGAAAGAAAGAAAGAAAGAAAGAAAGAAAGAAAGAGAAAGAGGCAGACCAGGGGATATTCAAGACACTGCTGGTGTCTGGTTGGGGCTTTAGAAGCTGAACACCATCCAGGAGTTCTTGACTTCTCGCTGTGGTTAAACATTTCTGGGAAACCCACCAGGACATAAAGCAACTCTCCTTACTCAATTATGTCCCCCGGCAAGTGGTGGCCTAGAATTGTGAAGTTCTGGAAAGTTGGAGGGTGACTTTGTGCCTGTCACTATCCGTCAATCCAGGCTATCCCACAGGGGTGTCCTAATGCTGAGTACAGCCCTTTGACATTGTAAAGAACAGACAAGCCGTGAATCTGCCAAGTTGTTAAAGAACAACTTGAACTGGCTCCACGTTTGGAACAAACTACCTTTAACAAACCATCTTTCCATGACTATTCCTCTTCCCATTTCCCCTCTGCCTCTTGTAGCTGCCTTCACAGCTTTCTCTGCCAAATCTAATTACGCCTGCTAAATCCAGCAACTATCCACCAAAGAGGCTGAGGCTGAGGAGCTCTGTGTAGGGGGTTGAACTTTGTGATCTCTTAAGTCCGGAGGTGGGACTGAAATATTTTAACAGCCGGTTCTCTGCCTAATGATTTCTTCCAACAACCAGTTCACCAAACTGCTCAGAAACTTAACAACCGGTTCTCGCGAAGTGGTGCGAACTGGCTGAATCCCACCACTGCTTAAGTCCCTTCCAACTTTATGGTTCCATTCTCCCATCTCCTTTTTAAATTTTTTTTTTTAAAATAAACATAGCATCTTTGCAACACTTCTACATCTTTTATATATCCATTATATTTCTTTTATCTATACCTAAATACCTTATACATCTCTCTGTCTCTATATATACATATCTTTACGTATCTTTTATCTACTTCTATTGATTCCATATAATACATCTTATAACCTTCTATATACATATATTTGCCTTATATTTCTTATTTCGTACTATTTTTATATACAATCTAGCTTATATTTTTTCTCCTCTTGTTACTTCTGAGGTTTTGTATTTATTTTCTGGTCTCTATCTTTTTTCTTCTCTTTATTGCTTTCTCTCTCTTCTTTTTTTTTTACCTCTTTCCTCTAGCCACTTGTACCATAAATTCCATACTAAGTAGTACTCGGATTCCCCCTTTGTCTTTTATTTCTTTTGTGAGTCATTCTACGGTCTTCTTTAGGGTTGGGGTGCAAGCCTGCAGTTCCACATTATTATTATTATTTTAAAAAATCCTCATCAAAGTGTATGTGTGTGTGGGGGGGGAATCTTTCTCTCTTTTACTTACTTGTTTCCATAGGGAACAGTAATGCCAGCCACGGGTCCCGTATCACAGCCCAGGAAAAGGAAAGAAATGTAGCACGCCGTGGAAAGCAGGCTGACCAACATGGCCATCTGTATGGCACCCAGGGCAGAAAGGCTCAGCTTTTTCACTAAGAGGCCTCCTAGGAAGATGCCCAAACATGCACAGGGAATAGCCGTCATGCCTGTAAAGGGAATGGAAAGTTACAAAGGGTTGGATTTTGAGTTTTTAGCCCGATCCCAGCTCCAGACACTTCATTGGTTCTTAGCGTCAAGGATGGAAGCTTTGGCATTTCAATTTGTCATTAAGAGAAAGAAGGGGGGAATTGCTGTATTTTTTTTTATTGTGGGAACCACTATTGTAGTTTCACTTTATTGCACAGAATGTAGTTATGGGTAAGGATTGGATTTAAAAAAAAATTTTTTTTGCATGATTTTAGTATTTTTGTGCCTTCTACTTGACTGTGCACAGAATTCATGTCTATTGAAATTCATGCTACTGGCCACAGGTTTTATATGTTCAAAGTCTTTTATTTTGATTCAATCTTTATTTTGCCATCCCTACCCGAACAATCTACTATAAATGTGTATATATAAAATAGAACTAAGTTTGTATTTCATGTGCCTCACTAGAATAGAATGTAATATATATGTGTGTGTATACAGTATGTATATATGTATATATGTATGTGTGTGTGTGTATACATACATACATACATACATACGTGTGTGTGTGCGCGTGCGTACGTACATACATACACACACACCATGTATGTATGTATGTATGTATGTATGTATGTATGTATGTATGTATGTATGTATGTATTGTGTCACAACCCCTGGTATGCCCAAATGGGAGGGAGCATACTGCTTCCCTTTTCTGTCTATCGGCTCACTCTGGGAGCCATTCAGGCAGAAAGCCATTTTTTATGTTGCCTTGTTACATTTGTGTTGCATTTGTGCTGATAAATAAATAAAGGGAGACTAGTATAGATCTATTTCAAGCTATTTAGCTCTCATCAGCTAGACATACCCTTACTGGGAATCGAACCCATATATATATATTGTACAGAACGTTTTTCTTTTACTTAGATGCACTAATTTTTTGTCCTAAGCACATAATGAAATACCTGGTTAGCTCTGTTTTCTTTTAGCATTGCTGTGTTAAATGGAATTATCTCTTGCCCGTTTGTAAAAATCCAATTCACATTCATTCACTGTCACATACCCAAACTATATTCCTTCCTGATTTGTTGTCTTTATTTATAATGGGTTGCATCATTTCTGTCCCGTCTTAACGTTTACAGCAAATTTAAGTGATGGCTTATCCCCCCCCCCAAAAAAAAGAGTAAGAAGGGGGGAGGTGTTGTTTTCGAATGGGTTGGATGGGGAAGCAAAATGTCTATGGTTCTGCTGAAGGACGGTGGAGCCTGGAATCTGTTCAAGGACATCACAACAGGCGTCGAATTGAAGCAGACGGTTCCCATAACTATGAGAACATTTTTTACATGGACTACATTGAGAGGTTGGGGGATTGGCTTGGAAAAGTATTGTTTTATTCTATGGACGGAGGTTTAGAGTTAGGTTTGCTTCAACATTACTATGCGGTGTATTCAATAAACAGTAAGGAATTTTGGAAACAGAATGATTTTTATTTTGGATTCTCGAGCGGGATGTTGACCCTTAGGTTCTATTTTTGACCCGAGGGGAAAGGGTTGGCCTCTTCTGGATAATAACTCACCTAGTAACTGGTTCGCTGATGACGTTGTGAGATTGAACTGCTGTTCTAGGTACTTGCCAAGAAAGGCTGCGAAACCTGCCACCACTGCGATCTCCATGCAAGCCGCAAGAACAATGCAAGTGAACACCGGATTGGACAACAGGTGCTTAGTTACCTTTGGGATCACTGGAAGAAGGAAGAGAGAAGAATGGAGGGACAATTTCACAATGAGGTTTCCGATGGTCACCCTAATTTCTTTAATGGTGCATCCTTGGGGTTTTGTCCAGACTATCAACACATCCCGTGAACAGAAATAAAATTCCATGGGATGATTCTAGCTAGCGGGGTGGGGGCAGAATCAGATACACCATCTGAAGGATCTACCAGATGAAGCTTTGACCACATGAGTTCAAGCCATAGGTATCTGCTCCTCTATTTCCAATCCACAGAAGGTCATCAGGGGTGATATCCAGGGTGGAAACAGAACCAAAAGAAAGAAACTTTGGAAGTTTCCACCAAACATTATGTCAGAGCATGCAGAGCATGGCCACTATTTTCAGACAACCCAGGAGCAAAATACAGTACACAAAGGTTTTGTCTTTCAAACAGTGGTTTATATACAGGACTTATATACAGTACATACATACACGTGTCAGGCAAATACTAGGCAATCAATCAATCTTCAACTCTACACAGAGTGTAGAGAGCTACAATGGAGAGAGATACATGAGGAGAGAGCGACATCCTCAAATGGCCTCCCTTATATATACAGCTTCTTAAAGTGGCAGTAACCCTGCTGACTCATCCTCATGTCATCATCTCG